ATAATATTTCCTTCATGTTCATGTTGTACTTGAAGACACAGATAATGGGCGTTCAATGTAAAATGGACTGCATTTAATCATATCAAATTCAAAATTAAACCGTTTCTGTTCTTTAAAAATAAAGCCTAAAAATATCCCTGCTGAAAAAAATACCTAAAACCAGCCTAAGATGGTTGACTGGTCTTAGCTGGTTGAAGTTCAAAGTAGCTGGTCTCCCAGCCTGGCCAAGCTGATTTTCAGCTGGTTTTAGCTGCCCAGCTAAGACCAGCCTGACCAGCTAAAGAAGTGGTCAAAATCTCTCTAAAACCAGCTATGACCAAGCTGGAAGTGCAGCTAAAACCAGCCAACCAGCTTAGCTGTTTTCAGCTTCCGGGTCCAAATGCTCATGCCACAAGACAACAACACACGATGCTTATACACTCACAATGTGATGTAATATTACTAAAAAAAACTATAATCCTATCTTTTGTCACCATACCGAAATCCCAGATGGCCAGACAGTGATATTTTTATAAATCGTTAAAATATTAGTGTCTGGGACACTGTGAGCATGGAGACTGTAGTGTACATTGTAAGTTTTGAAATGTTTAGTTTAAATGTGTAATATGAATGAACAGCGCTCATAAATGGCTGTTGAGATAGTATTCTCAATTGAAATGAGGGGAGGCGTTCCTTACGTCATGACTTAAGCAGATAGGTTCCCTTTAGGTTGTCACAAAAAAAATCCTTGCAATATTCTGGCAAGGTTAGTTTTTGGTAATAGATGTAAAACTATAAAATAACCAAGTGAGTTTTAAGAGTTCTAGAAACTAAGAGCTCTGAACTGTATTATGCCAGTTTTTCAGAACACTCGCAGCTGCTGCTCTATATACCATAAACCTGATGGCAGGTGCTTTTGGAAAAGGGGAGAAATTAAATGCACCAAATCAAACTTTAATAATGAAATTAAATATCAGAAGGCTGGGTTGCTGAGTTGTGAACAAGTTAGAGAACAATCCAAAGGAGGAGTGGAGTCAGGGTAGGCAAACGATCTTAACCAGAGAGGCAGACAGCAGATCAAAAGAGCAATGCAACAGAAGCACACAAGAACAGAAAGTAACAATACCGGCTGACAGACAGTACCCCCCTCCCAGGGCTGCCGCCTGATGCTCCAGGGGGCTGAGATGACTGGCAACAATGGGATTCCTTGATGAGCAAGTGGCTTATTGGTCATCTGCTCAATATCCTGGTTTGTCCACTCGACAGACTGGTGGTAGTGCCAATCTGTTGGCAGAATTCCCTCCAGAAATGGTAGATGAACTGGGGCCCTATGTCAGAGAGAGACCACATCTTTCAGAAGACCATGAATCTGGAAGACATGGTCCAAGATCTCCTGGGTCATCACCTTGGCATAGGGAAGTTTGGGCAGGGCATGATATGAACCACCCTGAAGTAGTGGTCCACTACTGTGAGGATCTGAGAGAGTCTGTCTGGAGTTCAGCAGTTCAGTATATTCTCCTGTGGTCAGTCCACAACACGAATGGGACAGCCACTCCCTCCAGCCTCCAGGCTCTAGCTGCACCTCCATCAGCTCACAGCTGCTGATTTCACAGTTCTGCTTTGCAGGGGACAAATGCAGAGAATAATAAGCACACGGATGCAACTTTTTATCATGAGGGGATATTTGGGTATAAGAACCACTCCAACTCCTACCTCTGACACATCACCTGCACTACAAACTGAGACTTGGTGGAGATGAATGCTGTCACAGAGGCCACCACCTGTCTGTAATTTTGAATAAAGTGTCGACAGAAACTGAAAAAGCCCAGTAATTGTTGGAGGGCTTTGTGCGAGCCAGAAACTAGTCAGTCAGAAACGGCTTTTACCAAGATGATGGACCTCAAGAACAGAACCAGCTGGGCATGAAAGTTACAGTTCTCTGCCTTCACGAATAGCTGGTTCAAAGACAAACTGATTTATTATGTCTCTAAGCACACAAGCACTGGGGCATTGGACAGGTCGAATGTAAGCACCACATATTCTAAGTGCCAGGACTCCCCTATAGACCCTTTTAGGGCCGATGTCACAATTACGTCACAGTGCTAGCTGGAGGCAAGACAAAGCAAAAGCGAAAACTGGAGGCGGCCAATTCAAACCAGCACAGATTCGGCTACATAAGGAGCTTAAAATATCATCTTATTGTAATGTTGGGTGCCAGAATCGACATAGTACATGCTCCAATTTGGAGATTGTTAGTGGCTGGAATTTTTAAGATCTTGGTAAGAAAGAATAATAAAATAAAGAAAGCAGTTTCTGGAATTTTTATTTCTAGAAAATATTCACATCTTACTTTGAATGTACTGTATGTAAAGGTACTGTAATGTCACTGTAAACTTACATAATTTACAGGAGGTATATACTTTAAAATAACTATTTGGCCATTACATGATACATTAATCTTCCAATAATATATCCATCATATTGAATGTTTAACTTTTTTTCTTTTTTTGGCCCAGTTCACTCTCATGTAGCTGTAAAAATAGTTGCCTGCTGAAATTGAAATATATACACTGTACATCTTCATGACTAGATAGACACGTTGAGTTTGTCTTTACTTTACACGTTAGGTTTCTCTATAGATGTGAGTCAACAATCTCTCCATGGCCCAAAAGTCACCTGTCCAGGGCAGTAATAGCCAGGGGAGAAGGAAGGGACTCACAGAGAATACTGAGCTTCTTGTCTAGGGAAAAGCCCATGAAATTTCCAGCCACACATCAATCCATCAAGACCGGCAAAAAATGGTATTGATTGAGGGAATAATCTTAAATCAGTGAAGGGTAGCCATTAGAGCAACTAGGGTAACTGCAGGGGTCAGGGCTTTTCCCAAAAGCTCGGAACAGGCGACATGAAAGTGCCCAGATAAGCCACAGTAAAGGCAGCACCGCTCCCTCACGTGCCTGTCATGTTCAGCAGGGGGAATCCTGGTACTTTTCAGCTAAAAATGTGCTGAGGTGTTCTTCAGAGATTTGAACCACTGGGTATATAGGTGTTGGGAGGACAAACTTACGGATCCAATCTCTGTCCAAGCAGATGGCCACATCTATGAAGACCTTGTGACTGGGTCTTTGGTGGCAAGCTCATCCTCCACATGACCTATGCAAGACCGTTCTGGAAACACACAATGTGTGCATCTGTATCCTAGCCACTTGCTGCTGCTGCGATGGTGCAGAACTGAATGGCATACTCCCGCTACACTACATTTGCCTTGCTGGATGGACAAAAGCTCCTTTGAGTGGATGGTTAAACACCCATCTGATTTCCGCAACAAAAGAGGAGTAACTGGAACAGAAGGGGCTGCGGGTCTTGCAGACGACTGTAGCCCAGGACAGGACTCTTCCAGAAAGAAGTGTGATCATATAAGCAGTTTTGGCTCCGTCAGAGGGAAATGATGGCTGCAACTTGAAAAAAAGTGTGCTCTCCTGAGAAGCGTTAAAGTGGAGGTAATTAGAGTTTAGTCAAAGGACTGGGCTGGGTGACCTTGACTGATGCACCTCGTTTCACAAATTCGATTAGATTCTGTTCCACAAGCTATTGATTTGCTTCAATATTAATGTATTTGAAAATATGTCATGTATGTTAAGAAAAATAGGTCAACTAATGCTGTGAGCTGTACAGTCAATTGAAAAATACATACATACATATATGCATGCATAAATGTTTTTATTTAACCTTTAGCAGTGTACCCAGTGAGAGTACATTGCTATAATATTAAAGGGGTCATATGATGCTGCTAAAAAGAACATTATTTTGTGTATTTGGTGTAATGAAATGTGTTTATGCGGTTTAAAGTTAAAAAAACACATTATTTTCCACATACTGTACATTATTCTTTCTCCTGTATGCCCCGCCTTCTGAAACGCGTCGATTTTTACAAAACTAATCGGTCTGAAAAGCGATATCTCTTTGGATTTGAGACTTTAGTCTTTGCAACTTTACAGATCTTCTTTATGCACCAAGAGCTTGTAACACTCCAAAGAGAAAGGAAAAAATGAAATTGCATCATATGACCCCTTTAAAGGATAAATTAACAACAGAGGCCAAACTGTTTAATTCAACTGCTATATATTCAGATATAATAAACACTCCAACAAAATTGTTTACAAACATTTGAATTGCACATTAGGCTTTCATGAACCAAAAAATGGAACTATTTGAAAGACTTCACAGAGGCTTTGAATATGTCTTCCAAAATAGTAAAATGAGTCACTTTGACACAGAAACACATTTTTTATTTTACCGAGTCAATGAAAATAAGGGCAAGTCTTAGCTTTCAAATGATATGCTATAATTTTTAAGCAGGTATTAAGTTAACACGAACTTGTAGGTCTATAGTGCATATGTTTCTCTGTTCATTCTAGCTAACGAAGGAGCTAATGATTGTCCTGAGGTAAATGTCAGGTGAGATGATGTTCGCAGTTGACACACTGATTTCATTCTCTGTGATGGACTAGCCACCTGTCCAGGGTGTATATTATTGATGGTAGCGACCACAGTATCCTCCTGAGACCCTGCATCCTCATATGAGGACATTATATTTTAGTGAATTTCTCTGAGACTCTACATGCCACAGTTTTAAGTCTGGAGGTCCTGTACAGAGCACATTCAGGGCTTTTCAGAGATACTACATGTCTGGATGTTTCACCATGACCACCCCCTCTCCTTAAAATATATTTCAATATTCCTATGAAATATTATATATTATTATGAAAATCTCGTCAATTATTACTCTCAATATTACACTTCTTTTTTCATTACATGTTGCCCCAAAAACACATTAATATGCAAATAAGATTTAGTTTATAGATACGTTATATATAATGAGAAAACCTGTTTGTGGCCATTTTTACACACATTTTGCATGAAGAAAAATGGTATATCAAATCATTCTGTTATAACATAGTTGAGAATTATCTTTATAAAAAGTTTGGTAAAAAAAAATTTGAATCCCCCTGGTTTAATAAAACTATACATATGTCTTTCTCTATGTGCAGATATGTGTTACTGAATGATTTTGCTGTGTCACTGATGTGCCTTCTTGATTTTGGAATATGATAGTGAATGTGAAATGGGGGAAGGAGAAGTTTGATGCGGTGGAACTGAATACAGAGGAGCCGCCCATGGTGTTCAAAGCCCAGCTTTTCGCTCTAACGGGGGTTCAGCCAGAGAGACAGAAAGTCATGGTGAAAGGTGGAACGCTGAAGGTACTGGATGTGAACCGTAATCGAGAGCATTAGAATTTGCTGTCCTCTGTTATTGCAGGTGTCTGACGCATTTTACTTTTGTTCACCAGGATGACGAGTGGGGCAACATCAAGTTGAAAAATGTAAGTATATGGCTAAATCTGTTTTCTGGAAGAATCTGAAAATTAAGTTTTGTCCTGTAATCAGAATTCAGCGGTTATTGGTGAAAAAATGAATAATAGGCTCCAAATGGGTTTGTCCAAAAGTATGCCTTAAAAATAGGGCTGCACGATAAATCGCATGCGATATTTAACGCGCATCTTATCAGAAAAGCCGGTTCTGTAATCAGCGGTAAATCTCCATCACGTGATTCATGTCTTTTTATATTTTTAAAGAAATTGAGTCTCGATGTCCTCTACCAAGGACGTAGCATAACTTATGAATGAAATATAATTTTTTTAATTTACATTTTTTTTAATGCTCTAAACAATTTAACGACATCAAAAAATACAAATCTTTTCCTAAAATGTTTTGCCGGGTCTTAAGAGGGCATTACTGTAGAATCACTGCAGAAGTTTATGATGTGATTAATTTATAGCTCGACATTGATTGGCTCTGAATCAGGCGCATAGTGGTTATTGACTATGACTATTATTGTTAGTGGCAAAGCAGCATATTAAATGGGATTGATTGGTTTTTACTTTGCCACTGGAAGGTAACCAAGCAAAGTAAACACTATGTAATTAATATTCGTGAATAAGGCCTTCGTCGAGCAACGTATCGGAGGCCTTATTAATATTTATAACCCAAACCTTGGTCGTCATAGTAACTTCGCATTAAGTTGACTTAGTCGCTCGTCGAGCTCATCGATCCAGTCATCATGCAGTTGCAGCGTCATTGTGGGCTGCTGTTTGAATGAAGTTAGAAGACACTCAAATCTTCCGCTCCTCAACTTTAACCCGGCCTTTGGAGTTGAGCTGAATAAAGAACAAGTAAACAGAAAGATGCCAGTATTTACAGGTCTGTTTACAATATGATTTTACATAAATCATAGTTAGTCTTTAAACGAAAAGAGATGTTTGAGAGGAGGCGGCGCCGTTAGCATTAGACATTAGCTTCAGGCCTCAAGTGATAGTTTCTGTTTTAAAACCGGGGAAAGCTAACCAAGAAGCAGAAATCCCATAGCAAGCGTTCTTGCGTGCCTTTATTTAGGAGATTAGATTATTTTATATGGATGTTTATGGTGTGAAATATAATGCTCAGACTTGATGCAGCCTGTTATCATGCCGGCCAGGCGGCTCTCGCGTTATTAAAATGCATTTATAACTAATACCACTTTTCAATCAACAGACAGTATTAATGAACATACAGTATATACAGACTTTACGCCTACATTTATGCAGAATTGAGTATAGAACATCTTGTAGGTTTTAAATTTGATGCATCATGCCTTGTAGTGTCTAGCGTGCTAACTTACCTGGAACATTTACTAAGTTAGTTCATTTTAATGTATTTCCAGTGATAGATCTGTTAAAGCTGTATTTATTTCTGTCTATGCCATTTTTGTAGACCAAAGTCTAAGTGTCTCATGTGGTTAGTTTGTCTTTTGTGTAGACTACATTGGCCAGTTGTGTTAATAGGGTTTCAAACAAACATTTAAAGGAATAGTTCGTTTAAGTAGGGCATTTTTTAAGCCCTACTTAAAAAAATGAATGTTGATCCTTTTTAGTCCTTAAACCATGTACCTGGTCTTATTATGCACATTGTTGACTACACTTGCGGCCAACCTTCTTGTACTTGTACCAAGTACAAAATTCATATAAAACCATTAGGGATGCTCCGATCAGGATTTTTGCAGCCGATACTGAGTACCGATTTCTTGTCATGGTGATCGGCCGATACCGATCCTGATGCTCCAAGCTTTATATAGACTGTTTCATCGGGCACACGCGCCTGGCCCCAAGTTAACTTCCAGTCTGTGTTTGTTTATCAGTCTGGCTATGGCGCCGGCTACAAACGCAGTGGCATTTATGATCACTGCTGGATCAAGCCGCTGCATTGTTTTTTTCCTGAGGTAATCCAAAGCTTCTTGAGGTGAATTCTGTCTTATTCCTCTCATGTGTGTGTTGGTTCGCCTGATCGGGAAGTTGCAGTGACAGAAACGGTGACATTCCAGATAAAGTTTGAAAGGAGTAAAGCCTGTGTGCAAGTAGTTACAAGTATTAGCTTCCAAAAACACCTCAACACCAAAAATATTGCTACCACTGGTGGATACCTCCCCCATTAAGAGATTCTGGACTATACAATATACCCGAACAAATGAAAGAAAAGAAAACCAAAACTCTAGCGATAACCCAAAATAACAAGGTCAACAAATGGTCTCTGCAAAGCTGCAATACAAACTTTTAAACACTTTTATTATAGTTAAAACAACAACATTCATTAAAACACTAACAAATTCCATCACGTTCATTGATTTAAACGCTCCGCGTCCACTAGGTAATGTGCATGTGATGAACATGTCCATCTGCGTTCACTGCCAATGCTTTGAAAGGCTTGCACACTGAACTGTGATCTTGACCTTCGTTCTCCAAGTCCTGATCAAAAAAACCTCCTTAAAAGTGTCAAGAGAGTTTCAGTCCTTAACAATCCACTGCAAACTCAGGTTTGTAATCAGTAAATTCCAGATGGTTCAATTCCAGTTCTGTCATGACAACTCTCGGAGGGATTGGCATGGCAATGTACATTACACTGTTAATGTGTTTGGTCTTGGCGGAATAGATCTGCTACACTGCTGCTGCAAGTACAGCGACTCGCTACTGCCAACACATCCACAACATGCTGCTGTGAGCATGTAAGAAACACTGCTGCTGCACATGTAACATATGTGACCCTGGACCACAAAACCAGTCATAAGGGTCAATTTTTTGAAATTGAGATTTATACATCATATAAAAGCTGAATAAATAAGCTTTCCATTGATGTATGGTTTTTTAGGATAGGACAATATTTGGTCGAGATACAACTATTTGAAAACCTGGAATCTGAGGGTGAAAAAAAAACTAAATATTGAGAAAATCATCTTTAAAGTTGTCCAAATGAAGTTCTTAGCAATGCATATTACTAATCAAAAATGAAGTTTTGATATATTTACGGTAGGAAATTTACTAAATATCTTCATGGAACATGATCTTTACTTAGTATTGTAATGATTTTTGGCATAAAAGAATTTATAATTTTGACCCATACAATGTATATTTGGCTATCGCTACAAATATACCCATGCTACTTATGACTGGTTTTGTGCTCCAGGGTCACATATATGAAATAACCTCCATATATAACATACATGAAATCACCCCATAGCAGATCTATACAGGTGGAGCTGGGGAAGGTGGAGGGTTTCTGAAGCGCACTGCAACTGCTACAGCAAGCACTAGCCGAGTATTTGAATGTTGTGCAGCGAGCTCATTGGCTGGTGATTCAAAAAGAACCAATCAGCTGCACCATGTGAATGATGTGATTATGTCAGATTGAGTTTGACCCATTGGACTGTGCCATCTAGAGTTTCATGACAGAACTTTGGATTTCTGCTCATTTTCATACTTGAGTAATGCATCACACTATCAATTAACAATGTGTTGCAAATGCTATTTCATGTTGACACTAAATGTGAGTTTTCTTTAGCTAATCAGGTGTTTTGATTCATGTAGGGGATGACTCTTCTGATGATGGGCTCTGCTGACGCCCTGCCTGAAGAGCCTGTAGTGCGACCCATGTTTGTGGAGGACATGACGGAGGAGCAGCTTGCATCTGCGGTGAGTTTTCAGCCAACCCAGTTTGGATCATTAGATCTGCTACTTTAATATTTTAGCAGAAATCACAGAAACAAGTTTTAAAAGCTGTGAACTTGTTTCTGTAATCTCTGTCATGTTCAGATGGAGTTGCCATGTGGATTGACAAATCTGGGCAACACATGTTACATGAACGCAACAGTGCAGTGTCTACGCTCTGTGCCTGAGCTCAAAGACGCTCTCAGGAGGTACAATTTAGTCATGTCTTTCATATCAAGTTCAGAGATTTTATTTTGTGTAATGCATCAATGTCTTTTTGTGATAATTTTCTTCCATCTGTACTGTGAACTTGTTTCTGTAATCTCTGTCATGTTCAGATGGAGTTGCCATGTGGGTTGACAAATCTGGGCAACACATGTTACATGAACGCAACAGTGCAGTGTCTACGCTCTGTGCCTGAGCTCAAAGACGCTCTCAGGAGGTACAATTTAGTAATGTCTTTCATATCAAGTTCAGAGATTTTATTTTGTGTAATGCATCAATGTCTTTTTGTGATAATTTTCTTCCATCTGTAGGTACTCTGGTGCCTTGCGGTCTTCTGGAGCTAATGCACCTTCCCAGTACATCACAGCAGGTGAAGAACTTTCATTGTATCTTAGTTTTGAGGTTACAAAATTCTCGACTTTTTATCAACGTTTGAGGATCGGTTTGTCCTGAATGAATTAGGAAGAGTTAAGCTGGGTAGTCATATTGGATCTTTTAAGTTTTTGTGGACAGCATGTAGCACTTGTTTGATCAGGTGAATTCTTCAATTAGCTCTGCGTGATTTGTACGAGTCCATGGAAAAGACCGCGTCAAGCATTCCCCCCATCATCCTGCTGCAGTTCCTGCACATGGCCTTTCCACAGTTTGCCGAAAAAGGAGACCAGGGCCAGTACCTCCAGCAGGTTAGGAGATACATTTTTTTTAATCACATATTTTCACTGGAATACATTTTTATCAGAATATTTTCTGTTAAAATGGAAAGTTATAAATTTTTTATTATTTTTTTCATTTACCCAGGATGCCAATGAGTGCTGGGTTCAGATTATGCGGGTCCTTCAGCAGAAATTAGAATCTCAAGAACCAGAAACCCCACTGGACGTGAGCTTATTTTATTATATGTGACACGTGCTGGCAAAATGAGTCGAAATGAGCAAATTTTCAAAAACTTGTTTTTTATTTTCACATTCTCCAATAAAATACCATCAAATTAGTATATGTGACCCTGGACCACAAAATCAGTCATAAGGGTCAATTTTTTGAAATTGAGATTTATGCATCATCTGAAAGCTGAATAAATAAGCGTTCCATTGATGTATGGTTTGTTAGGATAGGACAATATTTGGCTGAGATACAACTATTTGAAAATCTGAGGGTGAAAAAAAAATCAAAATATTGAGAAAATCGCCTTTAAAGTTGTCCAAATGAAGTTCTTAGCAATGCATATTACTAATCAAAAATCAAGTTTTGATATATTTACGGTAGGAAATTTACAAAATATCTTCATGGAACATGATCTTTACTTAACAGCCTAAATCTTTACTTAACAACGTTCATGTAAGACATAACAGAATATGTCTTGGCGAGATTCACACAAACATATTTCGCAATAATGTACTTTCTAAGGTTGCGCGCTCTCTGAGAGGCACGTCTTATGCACGTGCTTTGCAAATGTCAGTCAGCGCGATCGCTTTGTTTTCATCAGCATGGGTTTGAAAATCATATTTCACTGGTTTGGACTCATGTCATCGAGAATTCGATATGAATATTCACAAAGCTGGAATGCTGCGCTTTGCAACAATGGACCTACAACTTGTGGTGAGAAGTAGCAGCAGTCGTCCAGTGAGCAGAGAAAAAGATACTCCTCTCAGAAAATGTACAAATAAAGATCATTTTAGATATTGAATTACTATTTGGAGCATTGGGATCGCTAGAAGAGGGCTTAACTCATTTTTGTGAAAACCTCAAATTCGACCAAAACCAAAATTTTCCATTTCTTTTGCCTGTTGCTCAAAATTAGACAAATTTTGCCAGCACCGGGTCATATTGTTTATTGTATATAACTGTTTCATTACAGTAACACTAAGAATTTAATGTAAACAAAAGCAGTTCTTTATCATATTTTTCTGGAAAATAGAAAACAACTTTTAAAGTAATTGTAGTAATTTTTTTTTTCTATCTGCATGTTTTTGGTCGATTAACAGACTGATGGTGATAGTGGAGCCGCTGCCGCCTCAAAAAAGAAGAATTTCATCGATCGGTATTTTGGTGTTGAATTTGAAACGACGTATCCTTTGTTGTGCAAATCTATACCAGCATGTGCTCTCTCAGGTAGTGCTTCTGTGTGCTGTGGCTGTTTTTAGTTTAATAAGCTGCACGGCCCGTTTACTTAAAGTGATATTTTGCGTGTACAGGAAGTAAGAGGTGTATTCATTCATCAAAAAGTGAGTGTTTTCTAAATAGTCTTTACAGCTCCTTGATATAACCAATCAAACAGCGTATATGAACGCCTCAAAATAGGCCTTGAAATGTATTAGTTGCAGCAGTGTGTTCTTATACTTCCTATGCAAGTACAAACGCAAACGGCTGTACATTTATTTGTGCATTACATTATAGTTTAGTTGTCAGAGGATATGACCTTTTAAGTCCTACAATGCAACTAACGGTTTGTTTTCTTTTCTCTTTTGGATTCACTGCAGTGTTATGCCATACATGTGTATTGAGAGTTTTCTACAGAGAGTTTGTATTGAGCGTTTCATACAGTTAAACCCGAGATTTCTCCAGTTCCATGCATATGAACGTGTAATATTTTAAGTTCCTTCTATGTAAGTACAAACGCAAACGGCTGTACATTTATTTGTGCATTACATTATAGCCTAGTTGTCAGAGGATATGACCTTTTAAGTCCTACAATGCAACTAACGGTTTGTTTTCTTTTCTCTTTTGGATTCACTGCAGTGTTATGCCATACATGTGTATTGAGAGTTTTCTACAGAGAGTTTGTATTGAGCGTTTCATACAGTTAAACCCGAGATTTCTCCAGTTCCATGCATATGAACATGTGTAATATTTTAAGTTCCTTAACCTGCATGTGTCCAGTATGAAGTGTACTGAGTCAGAGGATGAGGATCCGACTAAAGGCACAGAGAGCCAGCTGCAGCTTAGCTGCTTCATCAATCAGGAGGTCAAATATCTCGCCACTGGACTCCGATTGGTGAGTGGGACGTCCCATACAAACAGTATGCACCAGTGCTCACAGTCCCTCTTAATCGTTACCTTTTCCTCATTACATCTAGAGGCTACAGGAGGACATTACAAAGTTGTCCCCATCCTTACAAAGAAATGCCCTCTATATCAAATCGGTATGCTTTATCTTCTGGCATGTTTGGAGAAATGCTCTTTTGTTTAAGTGTTTTCTCTTCTGTGCAACAATGAAATGAACAGTCACTTGTTATGTTGCTGCATTTAAGTCCAAAATCAGCCGTCTCCCGGCATACCTCACGATTCAGATGGTCCGTTTCTTTTACAAAGAAAAAGAGTCAGTGAATGCCAAAGTCCTTAAGGTAGGTCATTTGCTCTGGGCTGAGTCAGCATATAAAGTGTGTCAACCAAAATATCTGTATATTGATTTGTTATTTTGTGCATTTTAATTTTGCTGCATTTAGGATGTCAGATTTCCTCTTATGCTGGACGTCTATGAGCTGTGCACTGCTGGACTGCAGGAGAAGATGGTTTCTGTGAGGTCAAAGTTCAAGGAGGTTGAAGACAAGAAACTGGAGATGCAGCAGCAGCCGAAAGCAAGTGCCCTGTGATGTCACACTGAACGCTTCACGCAGTTAGAAAAGCCGCCTGTAAAATAACTGACATTCGTTTTATTTCTCATTTAACAGGAGAATCAGAAGGTTGGAGCTCCAAAGGATACAAAATATGAACCTTTCTGTTTTTCTGACGGTAAGTGCTCACCGCAAAGCTCTGTTCCATTTCAACACGGTTCTGAAAAAGTTTGCTCTGCTGGTGGATTTATAAGCTGAGAACTTTTTCTTCTCTGTAGATTTGGGCTCCAACAACAGTGGTTACTACGACCTGCAAGCGGTTCTGACGCATCAGGGCCGATCCAGTTCATCTGGCCACTACGTCGGCTGGGTTAAAAGGAAAGAAGGTCAAGTATTGTCTATGTCTCTCAAACGTCAAAGCAGTGTTTTTGGACCTCATGCACTTAATAAGAGCAGATCAAGTTATTGCATGAACAGTGGCGGCTCGTGGGTTTTAAAATCGAGGAGGCACACTAATTGTATTGGTCTGGGGATCCCTGCCGATTATTATTATTATGTGTTTGAATCATTCGTAAAATGCATAGGCTTTTTTTTGCCTTTAATGGATCTTGATTGCATGCTTGAGTGAGTATTCCAGGATTCCTAATAATAATAGTACAATGTTACTTTACTAGTAACACAGTTACGTTACTTTTAAAAGTAATGCATTGTTAATAATTTGTTACTTTTGCATTTAGCTCGCTGTGGCTCTCTCACACTCTTTTAGGCCGTTTACACCTGGTATGAAGATGCATTTTTTTGTTGATCTGATCACAACTGGACAATGCTAAATACAGGTGTAAACAGGGTCTGAAATGTTTTGAGCGTGTCCGCTTTTGAGCACTCCCAGAGGTAGTCAAAAACTCATTTGACCGAATAGTGGTCGAATGAATTTATCTTATCTCCATATAATGCATAATAAAGTAGTGTTTATTAGCGCCACCTGCTGTCAGAGAGTGAATTTGCATTCTCATGCAGCCCGTCTGCTGTTTTTGTTTCGTTCAGATGTTTTATGTAGTGTAGTTTCACAAAGCTAGTCAGACCATTCTGTTTTTGCTTCAAACTTCGAAATTACGCAGTCTAATTTAGGTTAAAAACTGCTCAAGCAGCATCTTTGTTTGGATTGTGATTAAAATCCAGCGGTCGCCTCTAATTTTAAAAGGAAAGAGCACAGGCAAAGCCTTTGTTAATATGAAGAGATTTCTTCGATTTGTATTTATTTATTTGATTTGGGATTTGTTTCAACATTTTCAGTTTAGTTTTGTTTTTTGACCCTTTCTGTTTTTCTGACGGTAAGTGCTCACCGCAAAGCTCTGTTCCATTTCAACACGGTTCTGAAAAAGTTTGCTCTGCTGGTGGATTTATAAGCTGAGAACTTTTTCTTCTCTGTAGATTTGGGCTCCAACAACAGTGGTTACTACGACCTGCAAGCGGTTCTGACGCATCAGGGCCGATCCAGTTCATCTGGCCACTACGTCGGCTGGGTTAAAAGGAAAGAAGGTCAAGTATTGTCTATGTCTCTCAAACGTCAAAGCAGTGTTTTTGGACCTCATGCACTTAATAAGAGCAGATCAAGTTATTGCATGAACAGTGGCGGCTCGTGGGTTTTAAAATCGAGGAGGCACACTAATTGTATTGGTCTGGGGATCCCTGCCGATTATTATTATTATGTGTTTGAATCATTCGTAAAATGCATAGGCTTTTTTTTGCCTTTAATGGATCTTGATTGCATGCTTGAGTGAGTATTCCAGGATTCCTAATAATAATAGTACAATGTTACTTTACTAGTAACACAGTTACGTTACTTTTAAAAGTAATGCATTGTTAATAATTTGTTACTTTTGCATTTAGCTCGCTGTGGCTCTCTCACACTCTTTTAGGCCGTTTACACCTGGTATGAAGATGCATTTTTTTGTTGATCTGATCACAACTGGACAATGCTAAATACAGGTGTAAACAGGGTCTGAAATGTTTTGAGCGTGTCCGCTTTTGAGCACTCCCAGAGGTAGTCAAAAACTCATTTGACCGAATAGTGGTCGAATGAATTGATCTTATCTCCATATAATGCATAATAAAGTAGTGTTTTAGCGCCACCTGCTGTCAGAGAGTGAATTTGCATTCTCATGCAGCCCGTCTGCTGTTTTTGTTTCGTTCAGATGTTTTATGTAGTGTAGTTTCACAAAGCTAGTCAGACCATTCTGTTTTTGCTTCAAACTTCGAAATTACGCAGTCTAATTTAGGTTAAAAACTGCTCAAGCAGCATCTTTGTTTGGATTGTGATTAAAATCCAGCGGTCGCCTCTAATTTTAAAAGGAAAGAGCACAGGCAAAGCCTTTGTTAATATGAAGAGATTTCTTCGATTTGTATTTATTTATTTGATTTGGGATTTGTTTCAACATTTTCAGTTTAGTTTTGTTTTTTGACATTTCAGTTTTGATAAAAAAAAAAAAACGTGAGTATCATATCATGAAATCAGTAGTGGGAAACGTATCGCATTGTGAGTTGAGTGAAAAGATAAAAATCTAGAACTCAAGCTGCTTTTTTTTGCACAACGTTTATTGCTTCTGATGCAGTTTGTGAGTCCAATCCTGTGGCTGGAGGGCCAAGTCCTGCACAGTTTACCTCCAAACTGCCCGACACTTTCCTGGAAGTTTCTGTTAACTCTGAAGACCTTGATTAGCTGGTGCAGGTGTTTTTAGGATTGGACACACCTGCTGTAGGGTGTTTTCCTATTCTAGCTGATGTTGACCCCCCTCCCCTCCCCTCCCTTCCCTCTCTGAACAGATGAATGGGTGAAGTTTGACGATGATAAGGTCAGCGTTGTGACCCCTGAGGACATCTTGAAGCTGTCCGGTGGTGGTGATTGGCATATAGCATACGTCCTTCTGTATGGCCCTCGACGTCTGGAGATACTGGAGTAACAATGGTTCACAGAGGAAACTTAAACCATAATTGCCATTTCAGAGCACTGTCTGTATAGATGTGCAAATAAATTTTGGTGTCTTTAAAAACATGACCTTAATATTTCCTGAACTCTTCATGCATCAACACACAAGTGGCATGTTTAAGGGTGTTTTTTTTTTGTTTGTTTTTTCCTTTTTTGGATGATAGATTGCTGGACGCGATCCTTGTTTGGATTTGGAGCAATGGTTTTATAAATGTTTTCTATATGCATTGAATATTTTTTTTAAGCCTGTGAAAAGGTGTTCATACTCAATAGACGGTATCCTCCCGCAGGAGAAGTAGTGACTTGGTATATAAAGATGTTCTTGGCCTCAAGTTTCAGACTTGAATACATCAAGAAGAGGTTGTGTGATACTGGGATCTCACCAAAAGAAATGCAATTTGTTTACAAGGATGTGTTGTGTATTGAAACTTATCAAAGGTGGATTTCATATCGAAGCACTTTGAGAGGATGTCTTTATGCTCAATTACTGCTTATGTCTTTAGCTACCATGCAACAAATGCCACTGTAAACTCATCTGTCAGAGTAAGAGAACTTGAGCTCTGTAATAAATTATTGACTACTGGCTTTTCATAAACGGTGAAATAAACATGCCATTGACACTCTCGTGTGTATTTTACAAACAAAACTATTGACCGATTTCAAATGAACATTTAATTAAAAAATGTAGCTAAAGAATGCATTTCATTGAAGTGCAGTCAAAATTTAAAACAAAAGAAAATGTTGCTGTTATGTTTCACTGTGACCTTCTGTGATGTTACTGAAACCAGCCGAGTTCAGAGCCGTGACCAGGCTCTCCATCGTAGCTTGAGGGCCTTCTCGGTCCTGCCAGGCCACCAGCAGCATCTTGGCCTGTAGTTCTACATCCTCGCTGTCAGACTCGATCACGCGGATCTCCTTCTCGCTCATCTCCAGGTGGTCTGCCAGCGTCTTCCACTGCGACCCAAGCTTGGCTGCGATCTCGTCCATCTGACTGTTGGTCACGGCCTTGCTCTGAATGCTGGGACCTGGAAAAGGACAGTTCAATTTTAGTCAACAAATAAGCTTTGACACTCTCTTATGCTAGCTCTAGACCTTGTAATATTACCATAGAGCCATGTGTTAAAAACACACAGGACATAGAAAAATCTGAGAATCCCAAACCCTCAATCACAACCAACTGCTCAGAGTTTTACCTATGCTTATGCTATAACCATAAGGCCTAGTAATACAATTTCTGACTTGAATGCCTAACATAGTTCTAAGAATTTCTGCCAATTCAAATTTTCATTAAAAAACAACAACAACTACGTTTGAAGACAAGATGAATAATCTCAGATCACTGTAAGGCCATCATTCATGGTACACCAAACCATTCTCCTATAGCGCGTTGACGAATTTCATGACATACATTGGCATGTTGAGAAGATATTTAGTTTATTTGGCCAAAAATCACTAGACTGGTTTCTTTAGATTCATTTGCAGCATAACAAATCAAACCATTCAGTTTCGAGTGTCAATCATTTTTAATTTTGTCATAACATGCAATGTTTTATAAATGCACTGTCAAATCATCTTGAAATATCGTCGAAGACGTCCTTTGGTGCTCAACACAGACGTTTATGGTTGCAAGCCCGTGACATGAAACCTAAAACATGTCATCATGCTTATTTGGCTGCCGATGGGGAGCTTGACCCTGTAATTGCTGCTTGCAGCTCTATTACATAAAGTTTAAACCAGACTAACCAGTGTTCCCCAAACCTGTTCCTGAAGTACGGCCAAATTTTATCTGCGTTTTGGATCTTAAAAGTAGTACCTACTTAGAGTATGCAATTACTTTGCAACCATTAAAAAGTAAGTTTTATGAATTTTATCCGGACGTGACTTAAGTCATGTGACCTATGAACATCAGATGCAGCCCATATCTTCCTTTTTCAGGTCTTCTAACTACATGAGCTGAATCAAGCGAGACATACAAAATGTGCAGTGCGGGGGCACTACAGGAGCAGGGTTGGGAAACACTGGTTTAAAACCTTTGTTTTGTCTAGTTCTCTAACAACACGTCCCAAAATAATTACAATCCATGACCGACTAACTCTGTATGTGCTATGTGGCTGTGGCTGCTGTACATTTTCTCTGCTTGCCTCAAGCAAAAATGAACTCCTGTTGTCCTTGAGCTTTTATAGATAAATGAAGGTGACGTTCTGTGATGAAGCTTTGGAAACAAAACCAAAAGTACAAAGTGAGGCGAGCAACACAACTCCTATGGAGTCATTTCTTAGCAACTGCTGCCACTTTGATGCAAACGTACTGCCATTTTGATCCGAGAAATACAGTGTGGACAGAATCCAGCAGGCAGGGCAACAGTCATAAAAATGGCTTTAGACTTTTCATTAAAAAAAAAACAAAAAAAACTTACTGTCATTGCTCTCTTTTAACAGGTTATCTCCATTCTCATCATCATCCTCCTCGCCTGTTTTTATCTCCTCAGAAGGAAGGTCTTTCTGTTTAAAGAAAAACAAAGATTCAGTTTTTAGACTTTAAACTTGCGTAAAATATTGAATTTTACAGTAAAATGGTGAGCAGAATTTTTGAGTGAATCTTGTAATTTCAATTAAATCATATTGTAAACTACCCTCTATTAATATTGGCACCCATGGTAAATATGAACGAAATGGATTGACTTTTTTTGTTGTTTCTCGTCTTATTTACAAAGTGAAAAAAACCTAACCTTTAAAATAAAATTACACACAAAAAGGAGAACAAATTAAATGTTTTTCCCCAAAATATGCGCCAAACTTATTTGCGCAGCTACAAATTCCAACAAGTAAAAATATATTTTAGGTTCATTGTCACAGTCGCCTCTGACTTGCTCACTGAGGGATTCAAGCTTTATGAAGTGCCTTTCTAGCAGATCCCCATTTAAACTAGGACTGGGTGATAAATTGATATCCATATTTATAAAAAAAATTAAAAAATCCACAATATTGGTAATCTTTTTGTTATTCCACAAACATTTAGACGATCAGGTGCGTGTTGATAAAGTCTAGAGACAGTTTTGTCAACTACACAAACTCAAGTACGCCTGATGCTTGTGCACTCTTAAAAATAACGGTTCTTTATTGGCATCTATGAGGAACCTTTAACATCCATGGAACTTTTTCGCTACTCAAATTCTTTACAGTGGGAAAGGTGTCTTTAGATTATTAAAATATAATCTCTCTTTTTAGAACTGAAAGGTTCCTTGAGGAACCCAAAATGGTTCAATTGCATCGCTGCATAAACCCCCTCTTGTAAGCTTTATTTTTAAGAGCGAGCTGAGGGGGTGCCAATAATTGTGGAACGCATACATTTGAGAAAAACAAATATGGTTTGAGTTATTTCAATAATTAGATTTTTTGTGAATGGACCAAAACACTTTTTCCATGACCTGCTTTGCTCATATTTACTAAGGGTGCCAATATTTGTTGATGGCATTGTATATGTGACCCTGGAGCGCAAAAGCAGTGTTAAGTCGCTGGGGTATATTTGTAGCAATAGCCAACAATACATTGAATAGGTCAAAATTATCGATTTTTCTTTTATACCAAAAATCATTAAGATATTAAGTAAAGAACATGTTCCATTAAGATATTTTGTAAATTGCCTACCGTAAATATATCAAAACTTAATTTTTGATTAGTAATATGCATTGCTAAGAACTTCATTTGGACAACTTTAAAGGTGTTTTTTTGCACCCTCAGATTCCAGATGTTCAAATAGTTGTATCTCGGCCAAATATTGTCCTATCATAACAAACCATAGATCAATGGAAAGCTTATTTATTCAGCTTTCAGATGATGTATAAATCTCAGTTTCGAAAAATTGACCCTTATGACTGGTTTTGTGGTCCAGGGTCACATATATTAGCAACTGAAAAGCCTATATTGGTCAAGCACTAGTTTGAATGTTTTCTACATTGTCTGATAGTGTGGATGTCCACTCACAGGAAGCTCTTTGGCCAGTTTGATGACCATGTTTTCCAGATAGTCTGCCAGACTCTTGAACTGCTGGTTGGTGGGCTGGAAGAAGTGAGGACTCCTTCTGGAGAGCAATCGCAAGGCTCGCCAGCCGTAGTTTGAGTTACGCACAACTCTGAGGGACGACGACAAAGAACCTGTTTATTCTGATGATTAATTCTGATCTATTGTGATGCACTGTTTGATCATTTATGAGACTCAATTTGTAAATCTCTGTACTTGTATTCTTCCTCCACCATGTTAGTTGGATCTGCCTGTTCGATAGCGTCCTCAAAAAAGTCCTCCAGTGATGGCATGAACTCCCTTTAACAGAGACATGTATTAATGCAACATTTCTAGCATTAAGCATCTTTAAGTGAGTATTACCAAACACACACCTGCTATCTGACTTGCAGGCCTCCATATTGTCAGGGTTTAGATTCCAGAGCCTTGAGAGTTCGTCACTGATGATGGTCAAGAACAGCAGAAATGCAAAATAAGATTTGGCCTCCGTTACACAAGTTACCCAGTAATCAAATATCATCTTACTTTCCCATGAGGATTTTGCGATCAGGGCCCTTCCCCAAAAAGTCCTCTGGTGCTTGTCTCTTTCTGCTGGGACGGATGGGTTTGGTCTCTGCTGGTCTGAGAGAAACACAACTCTATTCACATATCCATTCACAACTAAATAAAGAGCAGTGACCACACCTGCAAACTAAAGAGAAGTCAACAGAGGGACTTAAACGTTAGCAATTCATAGACCAACTAAGCATATTGGTGCACTTTTTTGATCAATGCAGTTAAAAAAAACTAATATGTTATTTGCAGAATTTTCAGAATTCAATCTTTTTTTGTTTATAAAGTTATAGATATTTAAGTAAAGTGCCCAGTTTTGAAGTACCATCATGCATATAAGTGAAATTTTTATTTTTTCCTTTGATTATCAAGCATGTTTCCAGCACTTCCCAGCAGTGGCAGATGGTGCATTTCGAGAGTAGGGAAGCTGTTTATTATAAACTATAATAATTATGAATTTAACTCATTATATATTATTGGATGCTCATTGCAAAGTTTTGCCCATCCTCAAATCTTCAAATAAATAAGGCAAGATTCCAAGAAGGAAAAAATACAGTGATTAAGTGAGTAATCTGATATAAATTATTAGCACTTGAAAACAATTTGCTCCAAAAGCAACAGAAAAATTGTGGCAGTCAGAAAACAGAAAAATGTCAAATTCACTAATTTCCTCAGGAGCTCTATTAGAAACCACTTTGAAACTGTCGATTTTTTTTGTACTTAAATACATTTTGACTCAAAAAGTACTCATCTCAAGTTTTAAATGTTTGCACATATAAATATATGCATATCCCATTTAAATGTTTACATATACAGGTGCATCTCAATAAATTAGAATGTCGTGGAAAAGTTCATTTATTTCAGTAATTCAACTCAAATTGTGAAACTCGTGTATTAAATAAATTCAATGCACACAGTAAGGACAACTTACAGTTGTCTTCTGGACAACTGTCAGATCAGCAGTCTTCCCCATGATTGTGTAGCCTAGTGAACCAAACTGAGAGACCATTTTGAAGGCTCAGGAAACCTTTGCAGGTGTTTTGAGTTGATTAGCTGATTGGCATGTCACCATATTCTAATTAGTTGAGATAGTGAATTGGTGGGTTTTTGTTAAATGTGAGCCAAAATCATCACAATTAAAAGAACCAAAGACTTAAACTACTTCAGTCTGTGTGCATTGAATTTATTTAATACACGAGTTTCACAATTTGAGTTGAATTACTGAAATAAATGAACTTTTCCACGACATTCTAATTTATTGAGATGCACCTGTATATTAAGCATATGTAACATTTGAATTGTTTAAAATCTCATAATTTAGCACCATAAACTAATATGAGGCACAATAGATTTTAGAACACTTGGGGTAAGTACATCACCAATCTCCTCTAAACTGCATGCTTCTTCAGAGTCCGTTAACTATTTCAAATAATTCATTACAAAACGCTTTAATACTAATTTGTGTAAATATGGATAAAGCTGTTCTTGTGCTGTTTTTATTCAATACCTTTCTTTCACAAAGCTTGGACAGCCTTCATTTTTCCAAGAGTTCCAGCTTTCTTCTGTGTTCAGGATGTGCTGTTGGAGATATAACGAATAGATTAAGATGAAACGATAAAGCTTTTAGAGCACCAGGCTGCAATTTCATTATGAGAGAGAAACTAAAATCCATACGCCTATAGCATGTATATGTATACAGATACTACTGACCTCAAACATCGACGCAAACTTGTCACCATCTGGAGGGGTTTCTCTCAGTAACTTAAAGGGTGGGAAAAGTAATAAAACATGACATAACAGTGTTATTAACACATACCACACACCTCCAATCAGTGATTCTAAAGGTTAAGACTAACCTGATAGACTAGTTTGGTCGTGTCCTCAATCCACAAAGACTGATCGTCATTCAAAACACAGCTGGAACTGCGAAGGTTAGAGAGAAATTGAGGTAAAAATATTTATTGACAAAAAGCAGGGCAACTTTACTGTTATCCTTACAGCTTGAAAAGTCTGCATTATGACTAAAATGATGCTAAATATGCTTGCCGTTTCCCCTGACCTCTTGAACTTGACCTGGCCCTTGAGATACTGGAAGAGGATGAGATACTGAAGCAGACTATGTCGTCTGAAGTTGCTGTCACTCAACTGAAGGTCCATCAACTGCAGAAAGATGGGAAATTTGCCTTGTGTTACCAGGTCAACGGCTGGCGTGTACTAATAACGGTTTTATTCAAAAGTCGATTAATAAATACTGGAAGAACCAACTTTCTCACTGGTGAGGAACTTGGCAAAGTAGACGTGGTCTCCAGCAGCAGTCCTCATCTCCTCCAGCTTTCTCTTTGAGGCTTGCATGTCATCCAGTTTGAAGCTCTTGAACACAGCTAGTGTCTCATCTGAATACTGCACAGAGAACACAATTGATGGGACATTAAAACAAGATACTTGTGGACCAAGAATGTCATTTTTCCTTTTCAATTGACAGGTGGCCAATCAAAGTAACCACAGATATATTGTAGTTCATCACATGCAAACTATGGACAACCGCAAAGTGTAAATGTACTTTGTCTGCTAAACTGAAATTGTACTTAAAATTCATTTTTTTTATAAGAATCTTCATCAAAGAATTTTTAGCTCCATTGGTGGGTTGGTTATAACCAGAGATGCACATAAGTTTCTCATGAGAGCACCTGGAGATTTGTTTTGGTGCTCACACTGCACATAGTGTGACCCATTAAATATAACTAGAAAAAAATAATATTTGTATATGTGACCCTGGACCACAAAACCAGTCTTAAGTCGCATGGGTACCATAGTTGTATCTCAGCCAAATATATATAAATATTGTCCTATCCTAACAAACCATACATCAATGGAAAGCTTATTTATTCAGCTTTCAGATGATGTCTAAATCTCAATTTCGAAAAAATTGACCCTTATAACTGGTTTTGTGGTCCAGGGTCACATATAAATAATAGTAATAATATTATTGCGCTTTATTTAGCTTTTTTCAAATAAATAAACGAAAATTTATAAAGTGCGATACTACTATTATATTTTAAAACAAATTTCAGTATAAAATAAAAATACAATTATTTTATAATACACTTAAGCCCAAAGTATACTTCGGTTTTTATGTGTACGTGAGGGTCAGCGTACAGTGTGCGCAGGGCTGGATTTACACACACTCTCATTCTAGGCACATGCCTATGCTCACTCGTCCAGGGGGGCCCAAGGTACAATGAAGAGATATATCATATTTTTGTTATATTATGGGCTTTGTCCAGCAGTAAAAGAACCAAAACCACAAAAGACATTGAGCAAATAAATATAACAAACAATAGGATACAAAATGACAAACTATTTCCATGTTTTCCACCTTTTTTTATGTACGGAAATCACGCTTTCCTTCTCGCGCACACACATGGAGACGCGCACAGAAACTTACTGTCAGCGCTGCCCCACGAATTTATAAATAAAATAGTTTCGCAGCTGAAAAGCTACATGACATTTTTCAGTAGCGAGGTTCTTGAAGCAGTTCAACTGAAAGATTCACTATTAGTAGAGACGATGTCGCTGAACACTGCCAAGAGATGCACAGACGCAGGTATTGACATGCGCTTAATTTCTCTCTCTCTAATAACTAAATTAGCCTGCATATCAATGGCTCAAACCTCCGTTATTAGCTCTAAAATTAAGTTTTGGAATTACCATCGGAAGGTTTGGCGTGAGGTGCGTAAATGATTGCAACACACACAAATTTTCAGGATGGAAACATGACAAATGTCTTGAAATAAAATATCTAAACAATGTCTTGAGGTGTGGTTGTGACTCCAGGCCATTAAAATTATGAAATAAATAATGCACTCCCAAAGTGGTAATGTGGCCACGATGCCAGAGCCTATTAATGAAACAGTCTTTTTCTCCATTCTTAAACGAATTAAGAACTACATTTGATCTTCACTGACTAAACGCAAAGGGAACGACTTTGTGCTTATTGCGATAGAGAACTCTGTAACTGTTTCCACTGATTACGATTTATTTATTTTTTTTGCTGGAGTGGTAACATTATATATTAACAGGGAAGTGGTGCCTAAAAATTTATTTTGCCTATGTCGCGATAAGAGGTAAATCCGGGCCGAGTGTGCGTGATGCAAATTTCGTCACCAGAATAGTATGTGCATACTGTATGCACTCCATCCGGTTTTTGTAATCGTGCGTACTTTGCACGCTAGGGCTGGGACAATAAATCAATGCATCGTGATTCGTGGATCGATTCAGAGATTTTCGGAATGCATCGTGATTCTCTCTCGAATCGATTCTGAGCTTAGTTTTTAACAGCAGATGGCACTCTAGGCTAGATTTTAACCGCACACTCAAATGCTCACGAAGAAGAGCGCTTGTGCGTTCGGCTGAGTATTGTAAGTGGTTAAGTGTACTTGGACCTCGGCTTTTATGACACGAGATTAATGTAAACAGCCCCCTGTGAACATCCTTGTAATTCGCTTCAACCTTTTCAAACTTTATGAATGATTATTTTAGACTCAAATGGTGCGTGTGTAAGGAACTGGAAGCAAGCAGAATACGGCTATTTCTGCAGCATGCAGTGCCATCTACTGTTAAAAACTAAGCTCAGAATCGATTCAAGAGAGAAACGCGATGCCTTCAGGAAAATCTCAGAATCATTTCTCGATGCATCGATTTATTGTCCCAGCCCTATTGCACGCGCAGGTCGCACATGCGCATTGACTTGGTTTTGCACTAATCGGTTGTCCCACAAGGTGGCAGCACTGGCCAGGGCTGCTGTTTCTCAGTAGAAAACAAAACTAAAGAGACCGAAAAACAACAAAACAGAGGAAACAACAACAGACACACATTGAAAAGCGCTTGTGTGAGGGGGTTATGAGAGAGCCACAACTTCAGTTTGAAAGAGTACAAAGTAATTTTAACCGGTCATAATTTCTGGAGAAATATACAGCTGACATTAGGACTAAGATAAAGCTTTCTAGAGCGCAAGCTTTTATTTTGGCGGGTTGCTGGCAAGTAAGTGGTTTAAGCGCTGCCGAGTGAAGTGCGTCAGTAAATGAAGTGCCACAGTTTTGCATTTTGCTATGAAACAAACCGGCAGCGCGTAGCCTAGATTTGTGCTTTCAGTTCAAATGGAAATCTTAATACAGTATTACAATTAGTCGAGCTACAACGATGATTGTGCATTAACAGCAGTCAACCATTTCAGTACGCAAATGAGCGGTCTGAACTTATTTACATAGCACAGTTTTTTTTATTTTGTTTGTGCATGCACACCTGCACACCACTTCATGCATCCCATCAGATAACTGAATGATCAAATACCTACCTTAAGGAAAGTCATCCATGAGAACTTGTCGTAGCACTGTACAGGGTTTCTGAAATAGTCCTGCAGGGTCCAGAATTTTCTGTACAAGTTGTAGTCAATAGGAATGGAGCTACAAAACAAAAGCCCTTTAAATTACGTGCCGTTTAATAACAGCCAAAATAAAGCAAAAGCAAGACAATGTCTCGTATCTTTTACCAGGGAGCAGGTGCATCTTCATCACCCATCTCTCCCTCCTCCACCTCCATCCCTTCCTCCTTAACCTCTGCGTGCTTGGGGGAAAAAATTAAAACATGTCTGACATCTAATGTAGAATCCAGTGTAGGTGTCTAACTGTCCGTTTTATTCACATTTTCTGCTTGCGTGAACTTTCAAAAATACATGGCCAAGTAAATCAAACCCAACATCTGTCAGCATGACTTTACCTGCAGTCCAAGTGTGCTATCCTGCTCATTTTTGTTGAACACCGTGATGTTATCAAGGTTGAATTGACTCTGTAAGTTCAGGCCTGTAATACAAGGGAAAAACATCAAGTCATAAAATAACCACTGAACGAAGAACCAAGAAAAAACAACAAATGTTAAAAAAAAGTATACCTGATTTTTCTGACAAAGGAAAGAGACGTGCTAAAAACAGCTGGATTCGTCCACAAAACACTGTATTCTGAGACTTCGAGAGTCTCCTGAGCAGGTCTGTAGGCAAACACAGTGGTAATGTTAGGCTACTCCAACACATTCTCAATAAAGAATTATGCTACAGATATACTTGAATATTAGGACTAGGTATTCACAATTTAATTTGGGCCTAAGCATTTATATTTCAACAAACTATGGTAGAAAACAATTATATCATTATATAAAAGTTATATAGTTATGATATAATACATTTTTATTCCAAAAACTGATTTATGTGCAATTTAAATGTCTCTTTAATGCACAGCACACATCTGTATAAAACTTGAAACTCACCGTTGCACATTCTTAACAAGTAATTTTTTCCAGCAGAGTAAAAGGTATTCTGTAAACATGAAAGAAAGAGCAAGCATAAATAATATTGCTGCAAGCAGCAATTAAGGGGTCACACAAGCTAACGGTAACACTGAAGACTGAACAAACCATTCTATTAACATAATGAAATAGGGCTGCACGATAAATCGAAATGGAATTGAGACTGCGATTCGACAGAAGCTGCGATTGTCATGCGTATCTTTCAGTGAAGCACGGTTCTGTGATCAGCAGTAAATCTCCATCCAAAATACTGAGGGCGCTCTCGCGCTGAAACTCCAAATACGCCTCGCAGAAGAAACCCAGAAAATGCCTATCGCTGCAGCTGAATAAACAGAAGATTCAGCTGCTTTCATTGATTCAACGTGACTAATAAACACACGACTACGGCAATATACGGTTTATCTGAGTTCTTATTATTATAATTTTCATTAAAATAAAGTATATTTATAATGCAATGCCTTTATCACTGCTTAAATACTATGAAATATGTTGCGTGCCTTATTCTGTGTAAGAAGCCACATCATCTCACAGAAGGATTTATTTCAAACACTCGACTGATGTTATGAAGTGAGTTTGGAGTAAAAATATGTTATTAAATGTGGTATTTTCACATGCTTTCAGATGGAGCAGCATTTACTTCACAGAGCCGTAGTTCACTGAGAAGCTATGCAAACAGCTGTCATTATCGCGAACGATTTCAGAATCGTGCAATAAAATCGTCTGCGATTTTTTTTGCGTAACTTGTCAGTGAACTACGGCTCTGTGTAGTAAACTCTGCTCCATCTGAAAGCACGTGATGATGATTTCCTGCTGATTACAGAACCGGCTTTACTATCAAAATGCGCATGACAATCGCATTCGATTAATCGTGCAGCCCTATAATGAAATGCTTAAAATGGTGTAAATTCACAGTCATAGGCATTTACAAAAATGCGGTGACACCAAATTTGGTAAAGATCGCCAGAACGGTCTAGGATGAGTTCGAAAACGTAGGTTTTTACGAAAACTTCAGGTGGACATAGAAACAGAAACAAAGAAGCTTGCTTGTAAGTTTTTAGCAAAAACTCACGTGAAAATTTTAGCCGTTGAAGGCACTAGAAGGTGTGAGATAGATATTCCAAATATACAAACGGCAAAACTGCCCTCTATCCGTGTGCAAAATTTCATGACTTTCATGCAAGCGTTTCTATGGGCTGCCATAGACATCATTGTTGGAAGAAGAATAGCAAGAACAGTAACAATTACAATAGGTGCCTATGCTTCTTTGGTGCTTGTTCTCTACATATTGGTCTAATTGATTTCTACACCCAAAAAAGCACTATCAACTAAAAGGTCCAAACGTACAGATTTCCATGTAGACACATTTTCTTCAACAAAGGAGAAGATTTTGTCGCACTGGTCCAGAGGAAGGCAGTCGAGAACATCTCCCAGCAGAAGAAAAGGAGTGGTAGCAGAGCAGATGCCTTTACGAAAACAATAAATCAATGCAAAACGACTGATGATCTGAAAATCATTTTTTATACTTTAATGTTTGTGTAGAAGAGTGGTAGTTCACGCGTACCTTCAGTCACACCGTCTATACTGATGTAGATCAGAGAAAGGAAATCTTCAACGTTCACTTTCTGCTTCACCTAAATTAAATAAAATCATCACCATACACAATGATAACTCATATGCAAAATAAATGCAAGTATGCCAGTATTCTGGGGCACAAAGAAGCAGCTGTGGACTCACAATCTGCTCTTCAAGAACTCCACGCAGGGCTTGATCAAGAGTGGCTTTCTTCTCAGTTTCACTGTGAAGAATTAATTGAAATCACACATAACATCTCAACAGTGATGGATTTATTCACTGGAATACATCATTGAGGATGGTTCAAGCATATAAACAAACAATTGAAAATCTTGATAAAGAGCAATTATTACTTTCCAGGCAGGTGGCTGAAAGCGTTGGTCAGGGGTTTACAGTTCCTGATATCTACAGCACTTTTAGTGGCAGCCTGGGAGAAAAAAAAATAGTTTGACATAAGTTGATTAAAGTGGTTATAGTATTTATGACAAAAACACTAAATGTAGCATGATATTACGTGGTTTCCAGACATAAAAACACCAAAGTACAGTGAAAATATATGATTTTGGTTCATGTAGCATAGTAATACTATTTTTTTTCATTCATTATACCCTCCTCAAACACCATCATCTATTTTAAAGCATTCACTAACAAATTACTTTACACAAATGTCTAGTCCAATAGGTCTAATGTATGATAAATAATATATATTATGATAATATCTACTGCTACATAGTACTTTGGAGGAGAGACTTGGCAGGCAAGAGATAGAAACAAAACACTTTCTTTTTAAAACCGTCTGCGAATCGTCTATCGGTAAATGTTTGTAAATATAATTCACCGTAAATTTATCTCTGGCTTCAGTGAAGTCGAAGTGAGACGGCGGAGACATCTTTACTGGCGCTTTCTCTGGCTGACCCCCCTTCTACTTCCGGTTCTCCTTCTTCTTCGTTAGTTTAAATGTATTGGTAAAACACATGCATGTCTCCACCTACTGGACTGCTGTGCAATCATGATGATGATGATGATTATTATTTTTTTTTGCTTTTCCTTCAATTCCCCCCCCCCTCCTCCATTTGATGCAATATAACTTTCATGCCATCATAATTCTTTAAACAATTTAATATACAAGTTTGACAGGTTTTTGTTTTATCAATTACAACTACATGTTCCAGATATATAAATTATAAAAACATATGGATACTTAAAAATGATCACATAAAAAAAAAAAATCATCAAAAATCCATCAACTGCTAAAAAGCAGTGCAGTGTAGTGATGGTTTTCACCAACAGAGGTAGGTTACACAGGTTACGATGATTACTTGAAGTTTTTAGTAAAATAAATGTCAGTCACTTATGTCCTTTCACTTCATATTTCTCTCTTTGAATTAATCTGATGTGCTGAAAATGAAATTAAACTTTACATGGGACATCATGTCATACCTGGGGGAAAAAACAAAAAACATTAAAGGTAGAGTAAGTGATTTCTGGTAGCCAATGTTGATATTTGAAATCACCAAAACAAACACGCCCCTACCTCAAAAGGGTCTTGCCCCTATTTTGATAGCTCCGCCCCACATATACGTACGCAACCCAGGCAACGATTAGTTCTGTGAAACAAAGCAAAACCAATGTTACACCGTGTCTACGGACGTGAGCGGCGCGGCGCAACAAATCCCCGACAGAAAACTGCTGCCGGGTTCTATTTATGACGTGCTGACACAAAATTTCAAATGGTTTTCAACAGTCGTTTGATCGCGTCCAGTGTAGGCAGACTTTAGCTGTTATAGACACGGTGTTACTCACCTATTGAGAAGAAACAAAGCAACCTCGGCGTCCGATCGCAGGCCTTCCGTCCCATGCACTGAATGCGCTCTCCTCCACATCACGAGTAGACACGCCCCTTATTGCTGATTGGCTACAAGTTTGTTGTGCTATTCGGCCCGAATCAGTTTTCTAAAGTGTTTTTGAAAAATCACATACCCTGCCTTTAAGTCCCTCAAAGACTAAAAATACATTTCTAAAGAAAAGAAGAGCCGAGAACTCTTTCACCTGCACTCAGTGTGGAAACAGTATCTGAAGGAAATATAATCGTGAGATTGACATGAGGATCCACACTGGAGAGAAGCCGTTAGATGTGATCGGTGCGGAGAGTTTCTCAGACAAATAAAGTCTTTAGTTCTGTCAGGACCACTATCGTCAAAGATGATTGAAAATTAGCATACAGTTTGGATTGGCGGTATGGTTCCGTTCTGGGCAAGAACTCCCTGCGCATCCATGCAGCCTAGCATGGATGAGAGCGGCGAGAGCAGCGATAACCCCCCCAGGGTAAACAGAACAGAACCAACAAATGCATTGCAGATATCGTTAAAGTTCAATAATGTTATGTACACATTTTAGAATTAGTCTGATTCAAAAGAGAATCCGAAGGCTGAATCCTGACTGACAGAGGAGGAGCTGGGGATGGAGGAGGGTAATTAGCTATTGAGCAATGCGAAAACTGCTGATAATACTGAGGGACCTTATATATGAATGCTTAGATAGATGTCGTATTCCCATAGGTTGATGGGGATCAGCTGAGAGTCAGCTGATGCGAGCTTGACTAACGTGACCTGCCAGAACTAACGCTACGCTAGATTTAGAGGTTTAAATATCCTGCAAATGGCCTGGTGCCATGCGGTGCGTATCCTGATGCTATACGTTTATTAATATAAAACTAACTTAATGAATCTTTTGCTTAGAATTAATAAGTAATCATACTAATCAACCACTTAACTGTAATTTACAAAAATGTTTAACACCCTGTCTACACTCAAAGAAAGAGGAGTGTAAAACAAATTTTAAGTTTCAATGTAATAGAACAATCACAATCTTCCATATTGTGATTGTTGGGGGGAAAATGAAGGACAGGGACTAGGTTCTATCCATCTTTGTAAATTATGATGGAGGCAGATCTGAATGTGAGCTTGCAGTCGACTGTAAGAAAGGGGCAGGGTTTAAGCTGACTAAACGATTGGAGATTTCCAGCATGCTTCACATGAGCATCGATGAATATTTACAATAAGATCAATAACATGCATTTAGAAAATTGATGTGAAGTTTCATTTGAAACATTACATTTAATGTGTGGATTGATCAGATTTATCTATTTAATTCACAAAAGGTTTTGCGATTCAGTTAAATTTCTTTCTTAGTAATCCTGAAGCTAAACCTCAGGATATGCAAATGCCGCCATCACTGATTGGTGCACAGTGACAGACTGCCGGCTTTCCATTTAGTAGCTACCAAATGTCAAAAGTATGACAGCAAAAGCTGACAATTTAACACAAAATGAACTGGTTTCTAAACCTACACTTAGCATGAGAGAGCATCCTCCTTCACTTTTTCTTAAATATAATATACACAAGATACCCGAGAGGTTGAGAAGTTAACGCAGTGTAATCGTTTATGCATTTTAAGAATGCATTTATTGAGATTTATGTGTTTGAATTCCCTTTGCTCTAGATGTTTATATAGTGGTATGGGGTGTCTTTGCATACACTATGTAGTGCAGTACCTGGCTGCTCTGTTCTGGAGGTCCACTCAGTCCCGCAGCAGCCATGTACGTGCTGCCGATGGTTTTAATCTTCTCCACACCACTGAACTTGGGCTTAGACAGCAACTGCAGGTAAGGAGAGGAGGCAAGGGCCAAGTGGATATCAGTGTTTCAGAGCAGTAGAAATCCATGCCATGATGTTATCGCATATTAAATGACAGAGAGTATGAGAGGATTCACACTGAAACTCCGCACTATCAATATGTGAAACCTGTATTTAGATCCCTCTCAATGAACCAAATTGCTGCCAGAACTGTTGGCCTAAACTTTTGTGTGGTCAGTCAACCCAGAGCTTTGTTGTGGCAGTGATCACCAACAAGTCCTGGCCTTTTTCCTGCTGAATCCTCAATCCAAAAGCAGCTCACACAAGTAAGCAGTTGAAGTGATATGAGTGTACATTTACACAACGGCTGCCTCATTTAATCAAATTACCCATGTGATAGCTGAGGTGACGCCCTTAGAACTGAAAGCATTTTGGATGTTGGCAGAGCACTATTCATATTCACCCCCCCAGGGTAAACAGAACAGAACCAACATAAATGTATTGCAGATATCGTTAAAGTTCAATAATGTTATGTACACATTTTAGAATTAGTCTGATTCAAGGAGAATCAGAAGGCTGAATCCCGACTGACAGAGGCGGAGCTGGGGATGGAGGAGGGTAATTAGCTATTGAGCAATGCGAAAACTGCTGATAATCCTGAGGGACCTTATATATGAATACTTAGATAGGTGTCGTATTTCCCATGGGTTGATGGGGATCAGCTGAGAGTCAGCTGATGCGAGCTTGACTAACGTGACCTTCCAGAACTAACGCTACGCTTGATATTCATGTAAGAGTTCATTCTGGAGAGAAGCCGTTCATGTGTGATCAGTGTGAAAAGATATTCTCAAACAAACAAATTCACATGCGAGTTCATTCTGGAGAAGCTGTTCACATGCGATCAGCAGTGTTGGGAAGGTTACAGATTACAACTTACCCTATTCAAAATATAATAAGCAGTGCAACTATTTCAGTTACTTTTTTTCTTTTTTAAGTAATGTAACTAATTATTACATTTAATTACTTTTTGATTACTTTTCCAAATTTGTAACAAATGTTTTCAACTGTTAATAATTTTACAACATTTAAAGCATTTATTGCACAGCCACCACAAAATCAGACTTTAGCACCTCTTTTTACTTTAAGATCATTCTGAGGTTAAATACAGATTTAAAATCATAAGATATAGTTTAATAGCTATGATCCTGTTTTTGAAATCAAATCTTTGCATAGCTACAACAGGAAACACTGGCATCTAACAATGCAAAAACAGTTCATCTTAAAAAATAAAGCATAGGAAATAAATAAATTAAGCATGTGTCCTATTCGGTGCCCTTAACTCCTGAAGAGCATTCAAAGCAATTTGGGAAAGGAATCAATCAAATCTGTGTATGTGTGTGAAAATATTCAGATGCAACCCTCTTTGTAATTGTTAACATTTTCATAAGTACATTTTTTCTACAGATTACGGTTACATTTATTTTGTAATTAAATTACGTAATTCTGTTACATGTAACTAGTTACTCTTCAACACTGGTGATCAGTGCGGCAAAACATTTCTTAGGGCTCAGTCCTGAAGACACACCTGACAAAGAAGGAGAAGCTGCATTCATGTTCTGTATGTGGAAAGAGTTCCTCACTGCTGCCATATTCATATTGGCATACGAGCTCAGATGTGCTTTGAGTGTGGACAGATGTTTACTACAGTGAACTGTTTAAAGCAGCACCAGAGTCAGGACATCTGAAAACACATGAGGATCCACAGCAGTGTGTAAGGACCTATTGGCCCAACGACGGAATCCAACAGCGTAGGTCAAGGTATAATGCGTGTAGGTCTTTTACTTGCGCTTCTGCAAACTTCACTTAATTTATTAGGATTTAGTTTCAATTTTAGTCTAGCTCCGTAATAAATTGCTTAAAACTTTCTGAGAGAAACTCTGAGGTTTTTCTCCAGTTTTGACATGGTTTTGCTCCTCAACTTCACTCAGTTCTTCAATCTCCTGATGTTCTCCAATCAACTCTGAAATAAAAGTAAAAATGGTTCAATTTCAGTAACTCGTAAAAAACAGAAATGTGAAAGGACATAAAAACGAGCTCTGATATAACAGCGGAAAAAAGACAATTGCTACACAAAACGTTGATCATTTTGATGCATTTTTATAACTTATACGTCCCTGAAACTTTCCATGAATGAGGTACATTGATCTTCAAATTATTATTTTTAAAATATTACAGGCACAAATCCCATGTTTCTATAAGGAGAACTTTTAAATACGTTTGACCAACTTAACAATTATTCCCTTACTATTTGATGCT